TGTGTGAAACCCCGTCTTTGGCTCTGAAGTTTCTGGCTCACTGTTAGTAATATGTTAGTAATAACACTGTTAGAAATAATAACAAGGTCTGGTCTGGAGTTGAGGGCAGACTCGAGTTTCGTAGACCCCAAATCTGCCACCTATTTTGATTGCTTTTTAATTTCAGGAATACATTTTCCCAAAAAAAGGAAAACTGTTAAACTTCTCAAGCAGTGAAATAGTTCTTCTGGACATGGAGTAAAACAAACATTTTAGAAGTATAAATGAAGCTAAAATAAAAAATAGGGTTTCTTGTGAAGGATATTCAGATTCATTGGATAGTTCTCCATTCACACTTCAGGTTGTTTCTTTGAAGGACTATTCAATTAGTCCTTGTTTAGCCCTAGTAAGTTCAAGAATTAACTACTTATGATTCCAAAATTCATTGTTTTCAAAAGACTGAAATCTTACAACTGGAGAAAAATCAAAGAGCTACCCTTAAAATACTATTTTCTTGGTTATAGTTTACCCATTTTAACATGGTTAATGGTAAAAAGACATTGGAAACTCAAACATTTAAGGAACAGTACTTAGAAAAAGCAACATTATCTGAATGAGCTGAACATTCTGTTGGAGTTTGGTGCCTTGCTGGTAATTTTTCCATTTGTTGCTCTTCTTTTCCATTTCCTTATTCCATTACTACTGCTCCCAAACCATCCCCCACCAAGTGTTAAAGCTGAAAGATGTGGACAAAGATAGCCTTCAAGTAATACCGACAGGAGACTGACTGTACGTCTGGCTCTGAAGTTTCTCAGCCTTCTGCTTTAATTATGAGATATATCATAATAAGGTCACTTCATTAACTGAAGAAAAAAATTTTTTTTTCCTGCTTCCTGTAAATTAGCTGAAAAGCGGATTAAAGATTCACCAGAAATACAGGCCACTGTGGAAACCAGGTATAAAGAAGAATAAATCTGGCCCTGGCTGGTTTGGCTCAGCAGTTAGAGCATCAGCCTGTGGACCAAAGAGACGTGGGTTTGATTCCGGTCAAGGGCATGTGCCTTTGTTGCGGTTTGGTCCCCGGCCCTGGTCGGGGTTGTGCAGAAGGCAACCAATCCATGTGTCTCTCTCACATCAATGTTTCTCTCTCTCTCTCTCTCTCTCTCTCTCTCTCTCTCTCTCTCTCTTTCTCTCTCTCTCTCCCTCTCTCTCCCCCCTCCCTCCCTCCCTCACTCCCTCCCTTCCTCCCTCCCACTCTCTATCTGAAGGTAAATGGAAAAGTATCCTCGGGTGAGGATTAAAAAGAAGAAGAAGAAGAAGTCTGAATAATTATTTTTGCTTTCAGGAAGCTAGTCAGATGCTCCTTTCTTGTGACCATCACTGAGAGGGCTCCCTGCATTAAATTGAAAGTCATTTGTGTTTCTCTGTCTAATTTATTCTATATCTTGGTGAATGGAAAGCCATTTGGAACCTTTCTAGGCAAATGTGGTCATTGTCTCCCACTTTTCTTTTTTTTTAAAATCTTTACCCGAGGACATTTTTCCATTTTTTGTTCAGGTAGAGTGGGAGGGAGAGAGAGGAAGAGAGAGAGAGACATCGACATGAAAGGGCACATCGAGTGGCTGCCACCCACACAACTGGGGACAAACCGCAACCGAAGTACACGCCCTTAGCAGGAACCGAACCCGGGTCTCTGGACCGCAGGCTGACGCTCTAACCACTGAGCAAAACTGGCCAGGGCTGTCTCCAACTTTTCAATGAAAGGTCAAAGTATGAAAAACAGAAAACCAAAGACAATGAAAAGGTCATGAAATGAGGAAGAACCAAAGAAATACACTTGAGTGTATTAAAGCCAATGACTAATTTGTGTTCACTAAAGTCAGAATTTTCCATGTCGTTCACCCACTCCCTTGTCAACTTCTGAACTGATACTAGGGAATAATGTAATTGGTAAATTGGAATAAGATAAAGTATTTAGAGAACTGCAGAGTAGAAATAGAAAAGCAAAATTAAGGAATGTAGAAAAGCCACATAAGTGGGGAAAAAATGAAGTCAAATAACTGGAAAGAATAACTGGAAAGTAGTATGCCAGAGGACTTATAAAAACAACCCTTTTGAGAGGACCATCCAATTAAAACCAAAAGGTTTTTTTTTTTTGTAAGTTTACTTTAAAATAAAGTAAACGCTCTGATTTAAACTGAGTATCCACCATTAATATACAGGATAAAATACTTTCAACTTATATGAAGACAACCACAAAAAGATTTTAAAAAATCAGGTATTTCGTATTTATTTTTAGGTTCACTAATTAACTACCTATAAAAGACTTATCCCTCGTTTAAGCTGATGTATAATTATGGTATCTGAGTACAAAGAATTTCTCAAAAGCTAAATTAGAATGTAGGAGGCAAAACCTGAGACTTTCCAGGTACTCTCTTTTAAAACTACCAACTTCTGAAAGTATTATCTATTCTCCAATAAATCATTGAGAAACTACCATAGGAGAGGCACTCTAATTGGTGCCATAGCAGATAATATAGAGAGACAAATAAAATCAAGTTTCTTTCTTCACTAGTTTATAAAAGGCTGGTAATCCAAGAAGGCTAGAATAAATGCTTCCTGAAATTTGCTCATCTTAGGCCATGGCAAATGAGTGGTTGAGTTTTCTAGTTAGCGCAGAGTTGACCGAAGTAAACATCAAGGTCTTTTATTTTCAAATAAATCCAAGCGGATGCTGAAGACACAGAACATACTTTAATCCTTTTTTTTTTATCCTCAACCGAGGCCATTTTTTCATTTTTTTGTTCAGATAGAGTGGGAGGGAGAGGGGGGGAGAGAGAGAGAGAGAGAGAGAGAGAGAGAGAGAGAGAGAGAGAGAAAGAGAAACATCAATGTGAAAGGGACACATCAAGTGGTTGCCACCCGCACGATCCAACCGAGGTACATGCCCTTAGCGGGAACTGAACCCAGGTCTCTCTGGACCGCAGGCTGACGCTCTAACCGCTGAGCCAAACTGGCCAGGGCAATCCTTTTTTAATTATGTAGAATTATCAGATGAGCACAGGCGACAGATGAGCACTGAACCAGAATGCAGTCAAGTTCTCAGGGTTCAGCAAGTATCAGGCCGATCTAATCTGGCACACACGGCCTCAGGCTGTTTTGTTTTATCAGCATTGGCACTGTTAGTGGTTGCTATTTAATGAGCCCCCTCTTCTACATTTTAAGAACTCATCAGTGTTAAATGTTAGGCACTTTCTCACCCTCACCACGGCCTCTGAAAAATTGGTACTGTTCATATTTTATAGATGGTGACACCGAGGCTTAGAAGTATAATGATGCTTGTCCGAATTCATGAAACTAGTGGTTACTCAAGTTACTTGATCTTTTAAAAAAATTTTTTTTTCTTTATTGATTTTAGAGAGAGGAAGGGAGAGGGAGAGAGAGATAGAAACATCCATGAGAGAGAACATCGGTTGGCTGCCTCCTGCATGCCCTCCACTGGGGATCGGGCCCACAACCTGGGCATGTGCCCTGACCGGGAATTGAACTGGTGACCTCTTGGTGCATGGGTCGATGCTCAACCACTGAGCCACACTGGCCAGTCACTTATCTTGGTTTTACTTTTCTGCAGGACCTCAGTCTCGTATCTGAATTGTGATGTCTAAAAAGCTCTACGAATATTGAAGTTCTTTTTTCATACCTTTGGTGGCAAAAACTCGTTGTGTGGCCAAACCTGACCCAACCTGACTTGAGGTCATGGTCAGTGTAAATGTGCATAGATTTCACTGCAGCTATGTTGTGTCTGTGTAATACAACGGGTGTAAGCACTCCTTTTTACCTTCCTAAAAATCTTAAAACCTTTACATTCTGAAACCAACTAGCCCTGTGGGTTTCCAGAACAGATGTGGACTTGACCTCCCTTGCCACCTGGTGCCTGCCAGCTCACTGTCACGTCTCACCACTCTCCCTCTTCACCCTACCCATGTGCTTCCAGTATGCTGTTCCGAATATTGTTATGGGGGAGAGAGAGAGAAAAGTATTGATCAGTTGCCTCCCGTATGTACCCTGATCAGGGATCAAACCCACAACCTGGGTATGTGCCCTGACCGGGAATCAAACCTGCAACCTTTTGTGCACGGGACAGCACTCCAACCAGCTGAGCCACCCAGCCAGGGCTGGAACACTTTTCTGTCTTCAAGGATTATATGTCTTTTCTATCAGGTCCTCCATCCCTTGGGTTTACGTCAGGGCTCAGGGGGTCGGTCATGGAGCTACTCAGGTCACATGGCAGCCAGGGAAGGGGCTCAGGTTTCCTCTTTCAGGTGGCCTGGTACCTTTTCTCTCACTGTGTCCTGGTTATGTAAATGTGATGCTCAGCCAGCTCATGGCAATCAACAGAAGACTCACTGACCTCTGTCTTTCTAGTCAACGCGATGTCTTGTCCTCTCAGACATGCCATGGTGGATCACTCTGCTTCTGAGAGCACCTATGACCTGGTTTCTGTGGCACCCCCTGAGTCCTGTGTCTTGGTCAGAGATGGGGTCTGTGGCTGCTTCCCTGAGTGGCAGAGTGGTCCCTGAAGAAACACATTGGAAGAAAATCGTGGTCCATAGTAGGTGAATATTTGTGGAGTGAATGGACCTGTTGCTTTCTGGAAATCCCTCTGAACAGGAGTCGATTTCTATGTTCTCCTTCTGTTTGTACTCGGCAGTTTCCCCACAGTGTTGACTTGAAAACAAATTCAGATGCTATCCCAAGCTGCTTTTAGATCGCCGCTGGTAACACTAGGGATGGATTTGTGTTAAGAAGAAAACTTGCTTTCAAGGTGGCCTCTTGGAATGAATGTTCTTTTACTATCCTAATTAAATGATTTTCTTGAACTTGCTATTTCAGAGGATAAAAATTTAGAGGTTGCAGGATGATGTAATTTTCTCTTGCCGACCAGTAACTGCTGTCATGGGAGCATTTATTATTCCATCTGTCAGATTGTAAATCATGGAACAATTTTTATGTCTGAATAGGGAGAGATAATGCGTGTGAGAAAACTTCATACATGTTTCTACGGAAGGAACTTCCTGTGCGCCTGGCTAACACCATGAGAGAAGTTAATCTTCTGCCAGATAATTTGCTTAACCGCCCTTCGGTTGGATTGGTCCAGAGTTGGTAAGTAAATAATTGGTTTCCAGTGGGTCTTCCCATGATGCTCTGAACATTTGGCATTGGGACCATTCTTCCTAAAAATGCACGTAGTATCTCTGTGGGCATGAGTCACTTAGGATAGTCGGGTTATCCAGGCAATTAGGATTTTTTTAACTTGGAATTTAAAATGGTCTCAATGAAAATACTTTTAAACTATATGAGACACTTTCTTGACCTTTCAAATTTTATTTTGCTGCTTATAAATTTGATAGCTCATTTTAAAAATGAGAAAGCACAGAAGAGTAAAAAGGAATAGTAACACAGTGACCCACGAGAGTAGATCTGCTATCCTGTAGATGGGGAATGTTGGTTTGATCAAGTCTCAGCCAGCATCATATATTTCTCCTCTTGAAGAAGTTCCTTGAAGGAGGTATTTCTTTTTAAGTATTTTTTCTTTTTAAAATTTTTTTTCTTTATTGATTATAGAGAGAGGAAGGGAGAGGGAGAGAGAGATAGAAACATCGATGAGAAAGAACATCAATTGGCTGCCTCCTGCATGCCCCCCACTGGGGATCGGGCCCACAACTTAGGCATGTGCCCTGACCGGGAATCGAACTGGTGACCTCTTGGTGCATGGGTCGATGCTCAACCACTGAACCACACTAGCCAGACCTCTTTTTGTATTTCCAATAGCAGCATTTGGAGTTCCAGTTGCTCCACATCCTTGTCAGCAATGGTATTGTCAGGTTTGTTTTGTTTTGAACCATTCTAATAGGTGTCTACTGTACCTCATTGTGGTTTTCATTTATATTTCCCTAATTACTAGTGATGTTGAGTATCTTTTTATGACCTCTTGGTGCGTAGGTCAGTGCTCAGTCACTGAGCCACACCAGCTGGGCACCCACCCCTGTATTATTGAGGGACGACTACTGAATGGCCATTCTCTTTCAGTAGCCTGGCCTCCATTTATCTTCTAAATGCAAGTTAATTAATTGTCCCCTTCTCCTTATATCTGTTCATATCATTCCCTTCCCCAAAATGCTCTCCCTGTCCCTGTCATTTCCAGTCACCCATCGAGGGGCAGTGCAGAACCACAGCCGGCAACTTCTCCCGCCTCCAGGCACCCAGAGCATTCCTCTGTCCTGGCTCGGGAGCACTTTTGGCATCTGGCCTCCCAGACTCCTCCAGCTTTCTCCGCAATGACTTGTACCTTGCTTTTATAATTCAGAGGAGCCCTGGCCAGTTTGGTTCAGTGGTTAGAGCGCCGGCCTGCACACCAGAGAGTCCCAGGTTCGGGTCAGTCCAGAGGAGACCTGCAAACATTTCTCAAATATATGCAAACCGCTTTCTAAAAATACACCAATTCTCCTACATCCTACCACTCACCAACCTCAACCTGCTTACCTAGTCAGTAGTTGACTCACGAATTCCACTTCCTTGATTAAATAACACATTCTTTAAGCCTCAGAGCTAAACCTGATTAAACTTGAAGTTATACTTAAGATTTTTCATACTTTTCACAGGGCAAATGCAGCGTAGCGCGTACTGATATTTTTCTAATCTGAGGCCCCTTTAAATGACTTCATTTGTTCTAAAAGCAATACGGCCTTTGGCTGGATGGTGTAGCTCAGTGGTTGAGAATCAACCCCTGCACCAAGAGGTCACCAGTTCGATTCCTGGTTGTGGGCCCGATCCCCAGTGGGGGGCATGCAGGAGGCAGCCAATTGATGTTCTCTCTCATCGATGTTTCTCTCTCTCTCTTCCCCTCTCTCTAAAATTCAATAAAGGAAAAAAAGCAAAAAAATAATAATAATAATAATACAGGGGTGGCCAAAAGTAGGTTTACAATTATTTCTATAGGAAAATCATATAATAATAAATAATGGTACTAAAATAAACTCCATGATGATACTAAAATAAACTCCATGTTTCGATTACTCACAACTATAAACCTACGTTTTCCACCTCTGTATTATTTTATTTTTTCTTTATTGATTTTAGAGAGAAAGGAAGAGAGAGAGAGAGCACAACATCGATGAGAGAATATCGATTGGCCGCCTCCTGCATGCCTCCCACTGGGGATCGGGCCCACAACCTGGGCATGTGCCCTGACCAGGAATTGAACTGGTGACCTCCTGGTGCATGGGTCAGCGCTCAGCCACTGAGCAACACTGGCCGGGCAAACCCACCCCTGTATTAATTATAAATTTTTTAGGGCTGAGAATGAATTGTCTGAGAAACACTCTGTTGGGTGGTGTAGGAGATGCAGTGCCCAGTCCCTGTCCCAGACAGACAGCAGCTCCTCACTGTGGGAGGCACAGGGGCCCTGGAAACCAGGAGAGGTAATGACTGTGGCTTCACTCTCATAGTCAGTTGCTTTCTATTCTAAATTTGTAGCTAATTTCAAAAGGAGTGGCAAGTTTGCATGAAACTTTTTTTTAAAACTTTTTTTTCCTTTATTGATTTTAGAGAGAGAGGAAGTGAGAGGGAGAGAGAGATAGAAACATCGACAAGAGAGAACATCGATTGGCCGCCTCCTGCATGCCCCCCACTGGGGATCGGGCCCACAACCTGGGCATGTGCCCTGATAGGGAATCGAACTGCGACCTCTTGGTGCATGGGTCAATGCTCAACCACTGAGCCATACCAGCTGGACTGCATGAAACTTCTTTATTGCTTCCAGGCCATCATTATAGAGATTTCCCAAAGAAAGTATATAAACACTATTGGGGGCCATGGTGGGGGCTTCTAGGCAGGCTAGATGATGTCAAGTCCCCTGGTCCTGGTGGCAATGATAGTCAAACATTTGCTATCACTTTTTTTGTTCCTCACTTGAGGATATTTTTCTATTTATCATCAGATAGAGTAGGAGGGAGGGAGGGGGGGGGGAGAGAGAGAAAGACAGAGAGAGAGAGAAACATCAATGTGATAGAGCCACATTGACTGGTTGCCTCCTGCATGACCTGACCAGGGCCGGGGACAAACTGCAACCGAGGTATGTGCTCTTGACCAGAATTGAACCCGCTACTCAGTGGTCCGCAGGCCGACGCTCTAACAGCTGAGCCAAACCGGCCAGGGCTTGCTATCACGTTTATAAACATTATATCCGGGGCCCCAAAGTGAATTGCTAACAAAGTATAGGCTCTGATAGCTGTGTCAGCTCTTTATCTTGCCTCACCATTCCTCTTCCATGGCCATTCCAAACACACACATCATTTCCTCCTTTTCTTAAACATTCAATTTTGAAATAATTTCCTATTTAACAGAAGGATTTGAAAGACTAGCAGCAAGAATTCCTATTACAAACCTTCACCCAGATTCTTTAATTGTTAATATTTGGCAACATTTGTTCTACTAGTCTCATTCACATTCTCTCTGTATGTATGTATGTATGTATGTACATACATATATACAACATATGTTATTTTTTCCTGAACCATTGCATTAATGGTAGACATCATGCTTCTTTACCCCTAAATAATTTAGTAGTTATCTCCTTAGAATAACTCTTAGAAAACCACAATATGATGATCAAATTTGGGAATTTAACACTGATCTAGTAATATTTATTTTCTTATTTCATTAATTGTTCTAGTAGTGTTCTTTTTTTTTTTTATAGAACCTGTCCTCCAATTTAGGAATCCATTGCAGGATCATGCACTGTGTTGGATTGTCATTTCTTTTTCCTCTTAAAAGTGACCTCATAGGGTCATTTGACCTGATAAGTTTAGCAATATTTAATCTATGGCCGTATCTGCCCAGAGGCTTTAAAAAATATACCCAGCACCTGGCTGATGTGGCTCAGTGGATTGAGAGTCGTCCTATGGACTGAGAGGTCCCAGTTTGATTCTCAGTCAGGGCATATGCCTGGGTTTTGGCCTCGATCCCCAGTAGGGGCCATGCAGGAGGCAGCTGATCCATGTTTCTCTCTCACATACATGTTTCTATCTCTCCCTCCCTCTCTCTCTAAAACATCAATAAAGACACATTTAAAAAAAATGTATATATACCCAGTGGTAAACATACTTTTTAGTATTATGCATTGTCACAAAGTTCAAATGAGGCTGACTAATAAAATGTCATTTTTGTCTGTTTATGTGCTTAACAGTCATTTTTAGTTCCTTAAGTAGCCTTATCCTCCTATCAAAGCTGACTAGTAGGATTAGTGTAATTAATTGTTAAGAATAACTAGAATAAGGGATAATTCTTTCAGGATATGTTAAGACCCAAAGCAGAGATCACACGCCTCTGAGTAATTAAAATCTCTGAATCCCCACCAGATCCAGCAGGTCCTATGTGGATGTAGCTGCTATAGTAATGTACCTCTCTGAATCCTGTTTTTCTGTGTTCTCTGAATCTTTATGTTGAACATATTATTTCTTATACAGGGCCTGATTGAGATATGGAACTATTCTTCTTCTTTTATTTATTTATTTATTATTATTTTTGATCCTCACCCGAGGACATTTTTCCATTCTTTTGTTCAGATAGCGTGGGAGGGAGAGAGAGGAAGAGAGAGAGAGAGAGAGAAACATCGACATGAAAGGGACACATTGAATGGCTGCCACCCGCACGACCCAACCAGGGCCGAGGACAAACTGCAACTGAGGTACGTGCCCTTAGCGGGAACCGAACCCGGGTCTCTCTGGACCACAGGCCGACGCCCTAACTGCTGAGCCAAACCGGCCAGGGCTCTTCTTTTTTTTCTAATCCTCACCCGAGGACATTTTTGCATTTATCTTCATATAAAGCAGGAGGGAGAGAGAGAGAAACATCGATGTGAGAGAGACACATCGACTGGTTGCCACCCACATGACCCAGCTGGGGCTGGGGACAAACTGCAACCAAGGTTATGTGCCCTGAGGTACGTGCCCTTAGCGGGAACTGAACTTGGGCCTCTTTGGTCCTCCAGCCGATGCTCAAACTGCTGAGCTAGACCGGACAGGACAATATGGAACTATTCTTTTTTTTTTATCCTCACCCGAGGACATTTTTCCATTTTTGGTTCAGATAGAGTGGGAAGGAGAGAAAGAGAGAAACATCGACATGAAAGGGACACATTGAGTGGCTGCCTCCCACACGACCCAACCAGGGTCAGGGACAAACTACAATCGAGGTACGTGCCCTTAGCAGGAACCGAACCCGGGTCTCTCTGGTCCGCAGGCAGATGCTCTACCTGCTGAGCCAAACTGACCAGGGCGATATGGAACTATTCTCAGTCCCAAAGCTGTTTCTGAGGGTTTAAGAGAATTTAACTCTGAGAAAGAACCTTCTTTATTTCTATTTCTAGTTTCTAAGGTCTTAGCACACACTTCAGTTTCACATATGTGTTTCTTGCAATTTATATTCACTTTTTGGGATAATCAAACTATAGACTTGGTCTGTCAGGATATGTTTTCGTAAGCAGCAGAAAATCCAACTAAACCTGGCTTAAACAATTAATTGGCTTGTGTTAAGATCCAGCCACAGGATGAGTTTTTGGTGTTGCTTTGTTCAGAGATTCATGAGCTTATGAAGGTCCTGCTTTCTATGGTGTTGGCCTCACTTGCAGGCTAGATTTCCTCCTGGTGATAGAATAGCTGCAGCAGTTCTAGGCTTCACATCCACATAGCAAACTGTAAAAACAGAGCAAGTTGATTTCTCCCCCAGAGATCTCTAGCAAGTCTTCTTTCTTATTTTACTGGTCTGAATTGAGACAGTATGTCCATTCTTGAGCTAATCCCTGTGTCCAGGGATATGTGGTGCAGTAACAGGCATAGACCTGGACTATCAGACTAATTAGGAATTAATGACAAGAGAAATAGGGTTTCCCAAGAAAAGTTGGGCCACCTAGGAGCTTTTGCAAGGCATCAGCTTCTCCTGAAGCACTTGGGCTGCATGGGGGAATGGGAGGGGATGTTACTCGAGTGAAAATTTGGGGTACTGTAGAAGAGGGAAAGGAGAAATGGGTGTTGGGTAGACAGCTAACACAGCATCTCTTCTTTTTCAGGTATATGCAGAGCTTCCTTGAACTTTTAGAGTATGAAAATAAGAGCCCTGAGGATCCAAAGGTCTTAGATAAGTAAGTATGGTACCAAACTCACCTGAAAGTAAAAAAAAAATCTACGGAAAAAATGGTTTGGTGAATGGAGCTCATGCATGATGTAAGAACTAAGAGGTATAATTTGGACAAAAGCATTAGGTTTCTTCCTGGGTAATGATTCAACATTGCGTTGAAAAAAAATTTTTTTAATTAATTTATTTTTCTTTATTGATTTTAGGGAGAGAGGAAGGGAGAAGGAGAAAGAGAGAAACATCAATAAGAGAGAACATCGATTGACTGCCTCCTGCATGCTCCCCACTGGGGATCGGGCCCACAACCTGGGCATGTGCCCCGACCGGGAATTGAACTGACGACCTCTTGGTGCATGGGTTGGTGCTCAATCACCAAACCCCTCTGGCTGGGCAACATTGTTTTTTTTAAAAAAAATTGAGTTGAGAATTTGACATAGTACAAAATAAATAATAACACTTAAATTACGGTTTATGATCTAATCCTTTTTAAAAATATTAAATTATTGGGGTAACATTGTTTAATAAAATTATATAGGCTTTAAGTATATAATTCTATGATAAAGCATCTGTATATTCCATTGTGTGTTCACCCAAAGTCATGTCTCCTTCCATCACTATATATGACCCACTTTACCCTTTACTACCTCCTCCTTTTCCCTCTGGTAACCACCATATTGTTGTCTGTGTCTGTGTGTTTTTGTTCATTTGTCATGTTTGTTCATTGTTGCTTTCAGTTTTTGTTTTTTTTTTTATCCTCACCTGAGGACATTTTTCCATTTTTTGTTCAGATAGAGCGGGAGGGAGAGAGAGGAAGAGAGAGAGAGAGAAACATCGACGTGAAGGGACACATCGAGTGGCTGCCACCCGCACGACCAACCAGGGCCGGGGACAAACTGCAACCGAGGTACGTGCCCTTAGCGGGAACCGAACCCGGGTCTCTCTGTACCGCAGGCCGACGCTCCAACCGCTGAGCCAAACCGGCCAGGGCTGTTGCTTTCAGTTTTATATCCCACACATGAGTGAAAACGTATGGTTCTTGATGTTTTCCATCTGACTCATTTCGCTTAGCATGATAAGATCTAATTCTTAATACTTTTTTGCTGACGGGGAACTGGTCCCTGCCCTCACTTGAAATGTTGTAGTAAATGTTCCATCTAGTGGTTGTTTTAAGAATGCATTGGTCTCTGTCTGCATGAATCTGTCTACTCAGTCTTTACAGTCTTTTTTATATACATCTTTATTTGTTTACACTTATAAATTGTTTACTTTTATAAGTTAAAACAATCCAAATCCAAATTATGTACAATTAACTAACTAGGCTATTTGCGACAGTGATGAAATTTTTTATCTTTTTATTACATTATGACACATGTTAAATTTTTCATGTAGTCTATTTAAAATGAGTAATCCTCACCACGGATGAAGTTCTTGCGTTATATATTGTCACCTTAAAGCTGAGTTGGGGACACTTTACAATGTCATTTACTTTAGATATTAATTGCATCATTCATTGTAATGCTTTACATTAAAATTACTACTTCCTGGTTATAGTAATTAACTACCACAAGCTGTAGTCTGCTATATTATATATGGATTATGTGGTTTAGTAATGTGTGATGCAACAGAGATGTTTGAAATTATTCACTAAAAGCATTTAAAATGTTTTGCATGACACTGAAACTTATTAATGCTTGAATTATCTTTTGAAAAATATTTTTACATATGTCAGTCTAACCTCTGTCATCCTCACCCCTGGATCCATCAGTACTCTGGCAGTTGACTCTTCTTTTTTTTTTTAATCCTCACCTGAGGATTTTTTTCCATTGATTTTTTTTTTTTTTAATCCTCATCCGAGGACATTTTTCCATTTTTTGTACAGACAGAGTGGGAGGGAGAGAGAGGAAGAGAGAGAGAGGGAAACATCGACGTGAAGGGACACATCGAGTGGCTGCCACACGCTGCCACACGCACGACTAACCAGGGCCGGGGACAAACTGCAACCGACGTACGTGCCCTTAGCGGGAACCGAACCCGGGTCTCTCCGGACTGCAGGCCGATGCTCCAACCGCTGAGCCAAACCGGCCAGGGCTTTTCCATTGATTTTTAGAGAGAGTGGAAGGGAAGGGGCAGAGTGGGGAGAGAGAGAAGAGAGAAACGTGATGCAAGAGAGACAGCATTGATTGGTTGCCTCCAGCTCGTGCCCCGACCAGGGTCTGGGATCAGTCTGCAACCTAGGATCAATCTGCAACCCAGGTACGTGCCCTTGACCACTAAATGAACCCGAGACCCTTCAGTCCAGGTGCCAACACTCTAACCACTGAGCAACACCGGCCTGGGCAGTTAACCTATTCTTTACAAATCTGTCTTATGGTCTTCTAAATCTACTTCTCTTGCTTGATCTTCCTTGCCCATCTATATTGCCACTTGAGGGAGGACCACTGAAAAGCTGAAATCTTTTCCTTTCAGATCAGGACTAACACAAGGATGTCCCCCTCTTGCCACTTCTGTTCAACATCAGTACTGGAAGTCCTTCATTGTTTCTCTGTTGCCTTCTGAGTGATTGGCGAGAGCTCTCCGAGTTCTTGATTTGCTCAGTACCCATTTCTTCCACTGCACCAATAAGCTATGACACAATCTTTCCAATCCTTTACAGTTTAAAACATTTTTCATTGCGGTACTACATTTGAACTCAGAAAAACAATAATGGTTTTATTTGGGGGAAGCAGAAAAAAGTGTGCTTTTTATGTCACAACCTCAATTCTATTGCTGCTATTACGCACGAAGACCCCCAAATTCTCGTGCTGTTGGGAAATATTTCTGGTTTCCATTTTCATTGAACCAGAAAACACAGACCCTAGCTCCGAGTGTGGCTCTTCCCCCCCAAGAGAAGTTAAGTATTCTTTTCGCGTTACTTTCTTTTTTTTTTTTTTTTTTTTATCCTCACCCGAGGACATTTTTCCATTTTTTGTACAGATAGAGTGGGAGGGAGAGAGAGGAAGAGAGAGAGAGAGAGAAACATCGACGTGAAGGGACACATCGAGTGGCTGCCACCCGCATGACCCAACCAGGGCCGGGGACAAACTGCAACCGAGGTACGTGCCCTTAGCGGGAACCAAACCCGGGTCTCTCCGGACCGCAGGCCGACGCTTTAATCGCTGAGCCAAACCGGCCAGGGCTCGCATTACTTTCTTCCTGTTTCATAATATACACGAGTGAGTGCATATGGCAGGCCTGTTGTGCTGAGGATTTTCTTTTTGAGTAGAAACATGGTCCACACAATTGTGAGACTGAACACCTTACCTAGAGGTGTTCCATTAAAAGAATTAGAGAAACAGCCCTGGCCGGTTTGGCTCAGCGGTTAGAGCGTCCGTCCACCTGCGGTCCGGAGAGACCCGGGTTCGGTTCCCGCTAAGGGCATGTGCCTCGGTTGCAGTTTGTCCCCGGCCCTGGTTGGTCGTGCGGGTGGCAGCCACTTGATGTGTCCCTTTCATATCGATGTTTCCCTCTCTCTCTCTTTCTCTCTCTCCCTCCCACTCTATCTGTACAAAAGATGGAAAAATGTCCTCGAGTGAGGATAAAAAAAAAACAAATAAATAAATTAAAAAAATAAAAGAATTAGAGAAACAGCCCGGGCCGGTTTGGCTCAGCAGTTGGAGCGTCAGCCTGCGGTCCAGAGAGACTAGGGTTCGGTTCCCGCTAAGGGCACGTACCTCAGTTGCAGTTTGTCCCCGGCCCTGGTTGGTCGTGCGGGTGGAAACCACTCGATGTGTCCCTTTCACGTCGATGTTTCTCTCTCTCTCTCCCCCTCTCCCTCCCTCCCACTCTATCTGAATAAAAAATGGAAGAATGTCCTTGGGTGAGGATAAAATAAAATAAAATAAAATAAAGAACTAGAGAAACGGCACGTTATACAAGACCTTAGCTCGACACATTTGACCCAGCCCTCTCAATTCACAGATAAGGAAACTGAGGTCACAGGTGTGGGGTGACTTGCCCAAGATCATAACATTAGTTAGTACCAGAGCTGGATCTGGAAATCACACTTCCTTTTCCATAGGACATCGTCCTTGACCATGTGCCATACTGCCAGGACTGCTGGTTTGAGCCACAAGTAGCTAGGTCAAGGTTAGTTGTAAATTAAAATCTAAAGGGGAAAAAACCTTGACTCGTTTTATACTTCGCTAGGTATTTTGTGTCATGAATTTGTACAATGTGGACGGGAGGCATTGGGTTAGAGCCCCAAGTACACTGTTTTCTTTACACTCTGCTCTTGTTGTCATTTAAGGTTTTGGAATGAAATGAATCCAATCTAGATGCTTTGCTTTCTCAGGAGTCATTAGCAAATAACAGTTTGTCCGGCTGAGATCCTAAAAATTAGGACTGACCTCTCTCTAGTGTCAAGTCTTAGCATATGGATTTGTGGAAGTATGTGATACTACATTTTTGCTGGGTGGTTCCCAGAGTCCTGTCTCAGTTTCTGGAACCGGGTGTCAGTCCAAGGCAATAGCTCTCACTTAGTGAGTTTCAGAAACTTGCCCGGGTTCACGCAGTTTGTTTAGGATAGTTGGGATTTTAGAAGCCTGGGGCTCATGGTGAAGGAAGGAGCAAAGGTGAGTCATTTTACTTGTAGCAGTGGTTTTTTTCTAGTAATGGCCTTTTTATATTCATTGAGAGGTTCTATAGGAGTCACGGACAGGGAAATCATTTAAATAAAGTGAAAGTACCTTAAAGGACAAGCATATTTATATAATGATGTGGTTTAGAAGAGCCCCAGAAAATTGGGGAAGTAGTCTGAGAATTGAACCATGAAGGCAAGTCTCCTCCCTTCAGATAATTTGAGACACTTCTCTACTATAAAGAATTGTTTCACTTGAAAGCTATTTAATTTATAAATACTTTGGAAAGAGCATTATGTAAAGGGAAAATTGTCCATTATAAGATTTCTTGTGAATAACTATAATCTCCTAATTTCAGAGTTGATTTATTCACCTTTGCTGTCTTTGTATGCATTCGTTACAGACATATTCAATCATTAGGAAAAATAAGACTATTCAGATAAGTGAAAGAAAGTCAATCCATATTTTCAGTGCCGGGCAACTGTTAACATTTTCCTTCCATCCCTACTTAAAATTTTTTTTTCTTTATTGATTTTAGAGAGAGAGGAAATGAGAGGGAGAGAGAGAGAAAAACATCAATGAGAGAGAACATCGATTGGCTGCCTCCTGCGTGCTCCCCACTGAGGATCAGGCCCACAACCCAGGTATGTGTCCTGATCGGGAATCGAACCGGCGACCTCTTGGTGCATGGGTCGATGCTCAACCACTAAGCCACACTGGCTGGACAAGTATAAAAAAATTTTTTTTTGCATTTATCTTCAGATAAGAGCGGGAGGAAGAGAGAGAGAGAGAGAAATATCCGTGTGAGAGAGACACAACGAGTGATTGCCACCCACACGACCCCAACCAGGGCTGGGGACAAACTGCAACCGAGGTATATGCCCTTAGCAAGAACTGAACCCAGGACTCTCTGGTCTGCGGAGCGACGCTCCAACCACTGAGCTAAACCGGCCAGGGCACAAAATAGTTTTTACAAAAATAGCTGTGTTGACATTACAGATCTACACCATTATTCAGTTTCATAATGGGTCATCTACAGATAAGTCATGGGATTTGAACTCCTGTCTTTGGGTTTTAGAATGGTTGGTAGTTTTCTTGTGACTACTAACAGTGCTCTAAAGAACAGCTCATAAATATAGCTGTTGCACTGTTTTGTTTTGGTTTTTTTTTTTTTTTTTTTTTTTTTTTTTTTTTTTATCCTCACCCGAGGACATTTTTCCATTTTTTGTTCAGGTAGAGTGGGAGGGAGAGAGAGGAACAGAGAGAGAGAGAGAGAAACATCGATGTGAAGGGACACATCGAGTGGCTGCCACCCGCACAACCGACCAGGGCCGGGGACAAACTGCAACCGAGGTACGCGCCCCTAGCGGGAACCGAACCCGGGTCTCTCGGGACCGCAGGCCGACACTCTAACCGCTGAGCCAAACCGGCCAGGGCTGTTTTGGTTTTTTTTTTGTTAATTCACACACAAGGATATTTTTTTATTGATGTTTAGATAGAGTGAAAGGGAGGGAAGGGGAGAGAGAGAGAGAAACATCAATGCGAGAGACACATCTATTGGTTGCCTCCCGCATGACCCCGACCTGGGCTGGTGATCTAACCTGCAACCCCAGTATGTGCCCTTGACCAGAATTGAACCCAAGATCCGTTGGGCCAATGCTCTAACTGCTGAGCCAAACTGGCCAAGGATTTTAAAGAGAGAGGGGGAGAGATAGAAACATCAATGAGAGAGAACTGATTGGCTGCCTCCTGCATGCCTCCCACTGGGGATCGGGCCCACAACCTGGACATGTGCCCTGACCGGAAATTGAACCTGTGACCTCCTGGTGCATGGGTCGACGCTCAACCACTGAGCCACACCAGCTGGGCTGTTGCACTGTTGTAATTTGTTTTTCTTTTACTATTTGTGAAGGTGAAGTTTTTAGCATCTGAGTTTCCTCTGGTAAATGTCCCTTTGGTACCAGATTCCTTGCCTAGTTTTCCATTAGTGGGCACATCTTTTTCTTTTATTAAGGACAGTAAGTAACTCTGTTTTTTGACAGAATTTCTGAAATTCTACCTAGTCATATAATTTGTTTCTTCATGGTTTCTGCCTTTGGCATTAAGCTTAGAACAGCCTTCCTTACTCCGAGGTTATATACTTACTCACCTGATTTTCTTTTCTCTTTTCTATGATTTTGCCCTTTTGCATTTAAATATCTTAACCCACTTTTTGGCTTAAGGCTTGAAATTGGGTTGTGACTAAATTGTTAGCCAGCTTTCTCAAGTAATTTGATCGTTTCCCTACTGACTTGCATTGTCACTTGATCGGTATGCTTAATTTTTATACACCCACACTCCTTCACCCTTGGTGCTGGTTTCAAGCTTTTTATGTGGTTTCCTTGACTTGTCTTTCTGCTCTTAGTTATCATCCTTAATATATTTTTCCTCTGTATCTTTAGGGTAATATACCATAATACTTAAATGGGTTTGTTTTAATTGCCTTTATTCCATTTATATTTTATCACTGTATTTTACTGCTGTGAGAAATATATTTCACAATTTTACTCTTCAAAAGGTTAACATTATTTATGCATGGAAGCTATTGCTTTGAGACTCCGTAATAAATCCTTGGAAATTTTTTTTGGATTGTCCTCATGTTGTCAGAATAAATAATATGCTCTGCAATTTAGTCAGCAAATATTTACAGAACCTGTATTATATGTAATCATGGACCCAGAAAGTCAGTGGATTCCTTAAAAAGGTATTTGAGCATGTTTTTCTTTACTGGAACTGTTTACTTTTTTTGTCTCTGAAAGAATTTCTGTAGAAAGTTTCAAGGAAACACTCGGGTAATACTTTAGTTTCTCGTGACTTCTTCCTTGTAGCCTGCAACGATTATGTCTCTACCTATAAAAAATACCAGAAGGTGCCCTGGCTGGTTTGGCTCAGTGGTTAGAGCGTCAGCCTGCAGTCCAGAGAGACCCAGGTTCGGTTCCCGCTAAGGGCATGTACTTTGGTTGCAGTTTGTCCCCGGCCCTGGTTGGTCGTGTGGGTGGCAGCCACTCTATGTGTCTCTTTCACATCGATGTTTCTCTCTCCCTCTCTCTTCCTGTCTCTCCCTCCCACTCTCTCTGAACACAAAATGGAAAAATGTCCTTGGGTGAGGATAAAAAAAAATACCAGAAGGCAAGTAGTCCGGAGTTGGAGATGGGAAGGTTATGTATCAGCCATGAGATATAAATACTGACCATGTTTGTTTCCCTCCCACACAGCTTTCTACAAGTTCTGGTTAAAGTCAGAAATAGACACAATGATGTGGTTCCTACAATGGCACAAGGAGTGATTGAGTACAAGGAGAAGTTTGGGTTCGATCCGTTCATTAGCAGTAACATCCAGTATTTTCTGGATCGCTTCTATACCAACCGCATCTCCTTCCGCATGCTTATTAACCAACACAGTAAGTTGGGCTTTTGGTCCAGATTTGAAATGGTAACTAGAGTGATTTCTTCCAGATGTTTTCCTGTTATGGAGATGCAGTTTTGTCTGTAGAAATTTCATTCCTAGTTCAGTTTTCTTCTAAATAAATTCTATCTATTAAAAAGCTGTTCATTAGTATGCTTTGTTCAAATAAATCATGAAAGGCTTTTTTTTCTATTTTTTATTTTCTCATTTTTTTAAATTTTTATTGTTGACAGTATTACAGGTGTTCCTTACTACCCTCCTTGGTCTCCCTCTACCTAGTCCCTGCCCTACCCCAAGCCTTACCACACGATTTTCTGTGTCCATAGACTATTTTTTATATGTTTTTATTTTTTTAGAAAGAGAGGAAGGGAGAGAGAGAGAGAGACATCCGTGTGAGAGAGAAACATCCATCGGCCACCTCCTGCAAACCCCCTACTTGGTATCGAGCCCACAACCCAGGCATGTGCCCTGACCAGGACTCCAACTAGGACCTCTCAGTCCATGGGATGATGCTCAGTCCACTGAGTCACACTGGCCAGGCTTAAATGTATAGCTTTTTAAAAGAAAATTTATCTTTAAATATATAGCTTTTAAAAATAGAAATGTTTGCTGTATACCTGAAAATGATATAATACTGAATGTCATCTGTAATTAAAAACATTAAGTTACAAGCCAAACATATAATTCTTCAAAACTATAATTAAAGCATATCACCCTGATATGACAGACAATAAAGGTAATTTATTATTGAAAAAAAAAGAAATGTATGACAATTGACAGGAAATTTGAAGTATAAAAAGAACCTAAATACTACAAAGTATCCCCCAAAAATGTATATAGTGTGTCTGTAGATTCTGTTAGATTTTGAAACTGAGATGTATTTTAATAAACACTGACTTTATAATTATTCATAGTTGTATATACGTTTTTTGGAATACCCGATATTTAACTAAACTACTTAAATAACTACAGTTTGTTTCTGACCTAAATATGTGTGTCATCATATATGTGTACATGTTTTCTTTTTCTTTTTTTTTTTTATCCTCACCCAAGGACATTTTTCCATTTTGTGTTCAGATAGAGTGGGAGGGAGGGAGAGAGAGAGAGAAACATCGACGTGAAAGGGAAACATCGAGTGGTTGCCACCCACACCACCCAACCAGGGCCGGTGACAAACTGCAACTGAGGTCCGTACCCTTAGCAGGAACCGAACCCGGGTCTCTCTGGACCACAGGCTGATGCTCTAATTGCTGAGCCAAACAGGCCAGGGCCATGTTTTCTTTTTTAATAAGGTATTTTTTTTCTTTTTTTTCTTTATTCATATTAGAGAGAGGAAGGGAGAGGGAGAGAGAGATAGGAACATCAATGAGAGAGAACATTGATTGGCCGCCTCCTGCATGCCCCCCACTGGATATCAGGCCCACAACCTGGGCGTGTGCCTGACTGGGAATGGAACTGGTGACCTCTTGGTGCATGGGTCGACGCTCAACCACTGAGCCACACCAGCCGGGCTTTGTACATGTTTTTAGATCATGGACTAAGCTTGTTGCTTCTTTTTTTTTTGTTTTTCCACTTAATGGATTAGAACTTTATGTATTGGCCTAGTGCCCATACTCATCATTTTTTATAATTTAAAATCTCCTCTATTTTATTTAGGCATTCTCCTTTTGTGAGAGCTAAGTTATTCCCAATTTTTGATTCAGAAATAAGTATACCAGTGCATAAATAAATATATATATACCTATAAACACTTGAATTCAGATTACTTTTTCCTTTGGAGGGGCTCCTTTGGCTTATTCAGAAGTAAACTTTTGCTAATCTTGTGTGTTGTGGAAGCATTTGTATTTTTAAAAATACTTGAACAAATATCATTTGTTGTATGTACTACATTGACAAATAATCTCCGTGATGGAGGCATTTGAAATGTTCACCAGTGAAGACACTTCCCAAGCCTGGCCTAATGGGGCAGATGGTGTTTTCTAACTGTTCAGTGAATGTTGGATTAAATGTCTGCTGTAGTACTGAGAAGCTGGGTAAAGTTGGCTAAGGATAAAGGAAGTTTTTAATTATTTATTTAAAATTTTTTTTCTTTATTCATTTTAGAGAGAGAGAAAGAGGGAGAGAGAGATAGAAACATCTATGAGAGAGAACATCGACTGGCTGCCTCCTGCATGCCCCCCACTGGGGATCGGGCCCACAACCTGGGCATGTGCCCTGACCGGGAATCAAACTGGTGACCTCTTGGTGCATGGGTCGACACTCAACCAGTGAGCCATACCGGCCGGGCAGGAATTTTTTCATCCATGTCACATTGGGTTGGGAAGAAAGGGTTGGACATCTGGCATGTGGCAATGCTTTAGGACCTGCTAAGTGCAAGTGGCAAGTCTTAGAGCACATCCTTCCTCCTTCCTTGTCCCCTAGTTAGTCACCCATCGTTGTATATATAGGGTGGGGCAAAAGTAGGTGTACAGTTGTTAATATGGAAAACAATACAAAAGTCAATAAATAATAAACTAGAATGAACTTTTTGTTTTTCCTACTCACAACTGTTAAACCAACTTTTGCCCCACCCTATTACTTTAAGTCTGTGTGGATGCTAAAATGATTCTTACAAATACGAGAATCCTCTATTTTTCTCTACTTGACTGTCCCAGCCTGCTTTGTTGACCCTTCCCCTTTGTGTTTGTTTAGCACTTCTGTTTGGTGGTGACATTAACCCTGCTCATCCTAAACACATTGGAAGTATTGATCCCACCTGCAATGTGGCTGATGTCGTGAAAGGTAAGGAGACCTCTGTAATGTTAGTGATTGTGGTGTAATTAAGGCAGCTTGAAGATAGGGTTAGCTTGCTAAGTTGTTGGCCGAGTCCTCAAGTCACTCTGGGCCCAAACTATGTAACCCACATATGAAATGTTCTTTCTAGGTGGTTCAGGAAATGATGCATAATTCGTAATACTTGAAATGGGAGTTTCTACTTCATTGACTAGGGTTTTACTTGTAGTTCTGTCTTACACCATAAATATTTGTCAGCTTAAGTACGATTCTAAGTTTTGATCACCACCATTATCTGAAAACTTCAGAGAATGCAAATCCTTGTTATGAAGTTTGGCTGAATTCATAGGTTTTGTGAATTTAGCATCTTTTTTTAAAAAATACGTTTTTATTGATTTTTCTAGAGAGAAGAAGAGAGAGAGAAACATCAATGTGAGAGAGAAACATCAATGGGCTGCCTCCTGCATGCCTCCAACTGGGGATTGAGCCCATAATCCAGGCATGTACCCTGACCAGGAATCGAACTGGGACCTCTCAGTCCATGGGACGACGCTCAACCACTGAGCCACACCGGCCGGGAAATTTAGCATCTTTCTGATGGACACCCAGGCTTTAAAATCTACGTGGCATGTGGGCTTCATGGGGTCACTGGATATTGAGGTAGATACTGTCCCAGTAGCCTGGGGGTAGAACAGAGCCCTAGAGCCCAAGTCCCCAGTACCTAGGCACTCTGGTTCGGAACTGCAGTTTCCTTGTTATTTCAGATGCTAGCTCCAGAAAGCCTTCCTGGTTGTAAGTGATCCACCAGGTTTCTGGACCCTTCAGTTTTTTTCAGTAGTACAGTTACTCTATGGAGCTTTAGGTCCCTAAACTGTCCCCAAGATTATTTCTCCTATTGTGGCCTTCCTCTCCCTCCTCTAAACACACACAAGTTTTTTGCTTTTTTTTTTTTAAATCCTCACTCGATATTTTTTCCATTGATTTTCTGAGAGAATGGAAAGGAGTGAGGGAGGAGAGAGAGAGAGAAGAGAAAGAAATAGAGAAAGAGAAAGAAACATCCATGTGAGAGATACACTTCAATTGGTTGCCTCCTGCATACGCCCTGACTGGGGCTGTGGATCAAATCTGCAACCCAGTTATGTGCCCTTGACAGGAATTGAACCCGAGACTCTTCGGTGCATGGGCTGGTGCTCTAACCACTGAATAACACTGGCCAGGGCTAGCCCAATGGCTTTTTTTTTTTTTAAATCCTCACCCGAGGACATTTTTCCATTTTTTGCACAGATAGAGTGGGAGGGAGAGAGAGGAAGAGAGAGAGAGAGGGAAACATCGATGTGAAAGGGACACATCGAGTGGCTGCCACCCGCACGACCAACCAGGGCCGGGGACAAACTGCAACCGAGGTACATGCCCTTAGCGGGAACCAAACCCGGGTCTCTCCGGACCGCAGGTGGATGCTCTAACCGCTGAACCAAACCGGCCAGGGCCCAATGGCTTTTGTGAATCAGAAAGCCAGGTTCAGATATGCCTTAGAAAAAAAAGGCATACATTCGTAATGCAAAAGCACATTATCATATACTGCACGTGTGCCTTTGCTCTTGAAAAGGGAAATTTAAGGGCCGGGTTTCTCTTGTTTTGTAACTTACATAGAATTTAGTACATGCCTTTTAGATGGTCAGTAACTGTTCCTTGCTTTGATAAAGTTGGAACTCTTTGATAATTTATTTCTTTAAAAACAGCTTTTTTGAGTCCTGGCCGGTTTTGGCTCAGCAGTTAGAGCGTCAGCCTGCGGACTGGAGAGGCCCGGGTTTGGTTCCCACTAAGGGCACGTACCTCGGTTGTGGTTTGTCCATGGCCCTGGTTGGGGTCGTGTTGGTGGCAACCAGTCGATGTGTCTCTGTCACATTGATGTTTCTCTCTTCCTCCTTCTCTCCCTCCCACTCTATCTGAAGATAAACGCAAAAATGTCCTTGGGTGAGGATAGAAAAACCCAAAAAAACAGCTTTATTGAGATAATTCATATACATAATGTACAATTCACCCATTTAAAGTGTTATATAGTTCAGTGATTTTTAGAACATTCAGTTATGTAGCCAGTGCCACAATCCAATTTTACAACATTTTCATCACCTCAGAAAGCAACCCCCATCCCCATTAACAGTCACTCCTCACCACCCCTCTCCCCAGCACTAGGCAACCACTAATCTACTTTCTGTCTCTGTAGATTTGCCTATTCTGGACATTTCGTGTAAATGGAATCATACAATATGTGGTCTTCTGTGTCTGGCTTCTTTCACTGAGCATCATCTTTTCATGGATCATCCATGTTGTTGCATGCATTAGTACTTCATTCTTTTTGATAGCTAAATAATATTCCATTGAATGCATAGACCACATTTTGTTTATTCATCAGCTGAGGGACATTTGGGTTAGCTGGGTGACTTGGGACTTGTTACGTAACCTCTGTGGGCCTCAATTTCTTCATCTATAAAATGGTACTACTGGCAATTCGCCTGTATCGTGGGGTTAAATGAGTCACTGTATGTAGACCTCCTCAAGCAGTGCTAGCAGCCAGTCAGGGCTGTAGACAAGGTTACTGCAGTGGGCCTTGGCCATCGCCCAAGTTGTGTGCCTTCTCATTTATAGCGCTGATTATATAACAGGTTGGTGCCTTTACTTTTTTTTTTTTTAATGTGTTTTTATTGATTTTTTTTTCTTTTTTAGATAGAAAGGGAAAGAGATACTGAAACATTGATGTGAGAGAGATACATTGATTGGTTGCCTCCTGCACCACCCCGACCAGGGCGGGCCGGGGACCAAACCACAACTGAAGTACATGCCCTTGACTGGAATCGAACTTGAGACTCTGGTCCTCAGGCTGACACTCTAACACTGAGCCAAACCGGCCAGGGCTGTGTGCCTTTACTTTTGTTTCTGGCATAGAGTGAAATATTTTTAGAAGTTATTTAGGACATTTATCAGACAATTGGATATTTGACACTCAGGAAATACTGTTACTTTTTTAGGTATGATATTGATATTGTAGTTATGTTTTTGTAAAGGAGTCCTAGCTTTGAGAGAGGTATTTTGAAATGTTACGCATGATATAAAGTGACATGTGGGATTTACTTGAAATTATACAGATGGAAGGCAGTGATAAAGATTTGGCACATGCTGAAAACAGTTGAAGCTAGTAACGGGTACATGAGGATTCATTCTTCTGCACCCTGTGCTTTTGCATATGTTTGCAACTCTTCATAATAAAAGTGTAAAAACATACTCATTTTTATTATTTCACTGTTTAAAAAAATTTTTTTCTTTATTGATTTTAGAGAGAGGAAGTGAGAGGGAGAGAGAGACAGAAACATCAATGAGAGAGAACATCGACTGGCCGCCTCCTGCATGCCCCGCACTGGGGATTGGGCCCACAACCTGGGCATGTGCCCTGACTGGGAACCGAACCTGCAACCTCTTTGTGCATGGGTCAACTCTTAACCACTGAGCCATACTGGCTGGGTTTCACTGTTTCTTTCTTTCTTTTTTTTTTTTTCCTCCTCACCCAAGGATATTTTTACACTTATTTTCAGACAAAGTGGGGGGTGGGGGAGAGAGAAACATCGATGTAAGAGAGACACATCAATTGGTTGCCACCTGCAAGACCCCAACTGGGGCCAGGGATGAACTGCAACTGAGGTTCGTGCCCTTGGCTGGAACCGAACCTGGGACTCTTTGGTCCACAGGCTGACACTCTAACCACTGAGCCAAATCGGCCAGGACTCTTAGTGAAGTCTTAACCACTCCCTTCCTCTTTTTAGAGTAGTTGGTATTTTTCACTAGCTTTTTACCTTCTCCTTGTGTGCTCTGAGATTTCCAAGTTAATCTAACTTACCATCTCTATCTCTAACATTTTTTCCCTTTTTGTTTTAGGAAGCTTGATGTAGAGGAAGTTGGGCTTCTGGGTTTTTTGTTTTGTTTTGTTTTCCTTTATTAACTTTAGAGAGAGAGGAAGGGAGAGGGAGAGAGAGATAGAAACATCGATGAGAGAGAACACTGATTGGCTGCCTCCTGCATGTCCCCCACTGGGGATCGGGCCTACAACCTGGGCACATGCCCTGACCAGGAATCGAACTGGCAGCCTCTTGGTACATGGGTCGACGCTCAAACACTGAGCCACACCAGCTAGGCAGACTTCTGGGTTTTAATGACAGCTCTACTACTGATTTTCTCAGCTGTGAAGATCCTGCATGGGTTAAACTAGTCAGGTCCCACCCAGGTGATCCGTGTGTGGTGCGCATGCGCGTGCTTGCCTAGGTGTGTGCCTGTGTGTTTTACAGCCTTAGGAAGCCTTAATGAACTAACAATGATTGCATGCTTAGATCTCTTGAGACAGACTATAGAAAACTTTTATGTAGAAGGGTAGGGACAATATTTTTATTTTTGACTAGCCAGTTGTATAAATGTGTAAAAATGGGGTGCATCGTGTACAACATTAATTGAATGTGCAGAACACTGAAGCATGGCTCCTTGCTGCTTATTTAGCACATTAATATCTACCTTTACACATCTGCAAATTACAGACTCCTGGTAGTGAATGCTAGAATTAGCGTTGTAAGGCAGTTTCTATTATCCTCTGGGAGGTGCCTTCTATTGTGACCCTTTCCCTCTTTTCTTTGTTAGAAACCAGGAAATAAAATGGAAAAACCTGTGGTAAGATAATTTTAAAGGTACAAACTTAAATACTTGGTACAAAAGTCACCTCTCACAGCGATGTTAGCTGGCCTGTGTTGTTCTTATGTGCTATTATGCTTAGCATAATGGCATCCTGAAAGTGTGTCATTATTTTGGTTTGGAAATAATGTCCTGTGCTCACGTAGGGCTCTTCAGGTTTTAAGTAACAGAGGCCTACTCATGCTAGCTCAACAGACTGATTTATTGAAAGAACCTAGTAGGTTCCATGGTAATCCAAGGGCAGGAATCACTTCACAGTTGGAGCTACAGAAATTGGAACT